CATACAAACCAACCCCTGGCACCACACCCTGCCACAGCTCCACTGGTCTAATGGTCTATGTCATGGGATTTCATGTGGGAGATCAGGTTTCAAAATACAGCTAACGCTGCTTTAACAAAAAATCTCTTCAAACTTCATATTGTCACACAGTTACCTTAATTACAAACACCTGCTGACGTGACAGGCACAAGCTGGTATAGAAAACACATTTGAACTTGGTCAAAGTTYATTCTGCAAGTCCAATGCTGCAGGCAAAGCCGTGCTGCAATGACATGSTACATGGCARTGCACACTTGTTTTTACATCGTAAAAACCCATGTCTAGTTTTTAATAGTAAGCCCTACTCAGCTGTGTAAATGACTGCACAGATTAAGATAATGGTTTAAATCTATAAATAGTCCACTCTGATAAGTGTTATCTGTCTAACAATAACATTTACCTCCCATTATGGCTTCTTTGATGTTTAATGACTTYAGCAGACTTTTTTTTTGTCCAGGCGTGGTCAGTGTTGTGAGAGCTGGGTGTGCTTTTCCTTCTGTTTATATCGTGCTACRCTGAGGCGAGGAAAGGGGCCAGGGRCCRTGGGTTTAATTGGCTCATTCTGTCTGTGATGTTGTGAGAGAGAGCGTTATCKACGGCCACACGGTGCAGGACTCCTGTGTCACACTTTCCACACTGCAGCGAGTGGAAAATCTCAACTGGAAATCTGGACCAGTGCTGGTTCTTCAGGAAATAGGAGCTCTTTGAAGGATGTCCTTCCCCAAAGACAACAATGAGACGGACAATATGTCCTCAAACCACTCTGTCTCCTAACTCTACATTTAATGTTTTATAGAGTCGGTCTGGGTTGTTAAAGAAATGCTTCCTGAATGTGGAGGCGTCGCTTCACTCCTCAWAAAGACTTTAACATCTTACATCTGAAGGACTGGTCCTAAAAAGCTACAGTGGCAAAAACCGAACTGAGCAGTGAGAAGTGTGTACACCTTATAAAATGTTACTGTACAGGTGGAGAACATTCTGTTCTCTGTGAAACTTTTGTTTTATTTTTCCATTTCCTCACCCTCCCAGCTCACATGATGAAATCCAAGGAAAATATTTTTGAGAGAATCGGTTATTCTTCATCCAGCAATGTTAGCTTTTAATTTAGCTCAAACACCGACATCTACAT